CCATAAGCATACCCAAGAGTTGGCGGTGGGTGGTGATGATTAGCTGCCTTCCCTCTAGTCTTACACTGCTAAATTAGGGACGGCTAGTGCAGATAGCCCTCGTGTAGCTTTGCGCGAAATCTATAACAAACAAACAAACCATAAGCGTGAAAATGTATGAGTAACGTATATACATCATTTACGATAAAAATCCTTAAAAGGAATTTGGCCATCATACATTATATTATGAAACTCCTCCCCTGACTCTTTGAACCAGATTAGGTAAATGAATATCGTTAACGCCGGACAATTATAAAATCCTTCAGTCTTGCAATGAAGCCGCTTCTGGGTTCCTGTACGTTAGCATTTTTCATTCAGCTCGTTAACTTTATAAAGCGAGCGTAAGGAAGTCATACAAACTTACGTGAAATCTAATAAAAAGTTACTCATTACTCATGAACCTACGTATTAGACGAAGGTTGGAAATTTACCACCAAGTAATTATTACAAATGATACATTAAAATGGGTAGTAAAGTAAAAAGATAGTGCTGTTTAACTCGGTTTGCTAACGGAGGCTATGTTTCACAAAAAAGTGAATGGGTGTGGTGATATCTTTCCTTTTTGGTTCGTAAATTATGAGCATAGTACTTTGTGTTCCATGTTAAAATATATTAAATGCTTTCTAAAATATTTAAAGTAATAAACTGTAAGATGTTAAAAAAAGCCTGTAGTAATTTTAAATAAACCATAGTTTATTTTTACAACCAAATAAAATTAAAAAAACATTGCAATTTCATGTTTTAAATTTATTAGCTAGGCTGAATATTAAATTCCAAAAATTATTTGGTGTATGTGTTTAGCAATACTTCTGGTTTACTTCTTATACTATTGTTCTACTATTTAAAGTTGGTATCAGACCAAATGTGTTCCGGTAGACCTTGAAATCATTTACATATAATTAAGAGGTAAAAAGATATAACTATTTCCATTGAATTGGTATAGTATTGATTTATAACTTTAAAGCTAAAGTTTAGATGTTTTGTTTTTATTATTTTAAACTTTCTTCATTATTAAAAATCACTAATAATTCGTAATATAAGCACTTTATGAACAATACAGTAGTTTTTTTTCCAGTCAGAGAATTTGCTTTGAAATTCAAAACGAAACGTGAATAAAATCTGCATTTTATGCGATTGTTATTGCAAATGTCAGTTAAGTCTCCAATACTTTGGCGTTCAAACCACAACTTTTAGAGTCCTGAAAAGTCTACTTTTGTGTTTTTAGTCGCCGGAATACCATTCTAATTCTTCTTGGTAGAAATCAGCCATGTTTTGCGACTTCTGCGCTAGATTCACAGTGTGTGTCAGTTACGTGAATGTAGAAGTTCTGTTGTTATTATATTTCTCAGGTGCGATTTATACCCTATTCATATATATATATATACATATCGTTATTATCGAGTCATATATGTATATTATGTTTCTGAGTTCTAACTTCAGTTTGTCTTTTTTGGTTCTCCAATGCATTGAAATCCACATTCAGATAGGATGTTATAAATAGTCCATTTGGGCTTTAGGCGGTTTAGTGTGAACTAACTGCGACTGAATTGTGTTGTGGCTTCTGAAGACCCATGATCAAATCCCAGCCGGTGCTAACATAGAACTTCTGAGGGCTTCTCTGATGACGGAAACAGATTCGTAGACGAAACGTAGATTAAAGCTAGTTAGTTACTAGTATCCAGTTACATACGTACATGAATCTAATTGATAACACAGACCTGCGATGGTTTATTGCCTGGAAAGTTTTACATGTTCTACAGTAATTCCTGTACGCTGAATCCGAAAATGATATCAGTTTTTCTCTATCTCGTTCAGATTTTTCACACAACGTCATATGTACTTTTACACAAGTAAATCATTTTTATTGAAATCGGGTCAAATTTTGTTATGCATAAAATGTTGACAACCACTGGCTATATATTTCTCTAGACCAATCTCGACGTGAGTCTTATCGATCGTTCTATAACCCACAAGAAACACACCGCTAGTATATAAAGGGTCAACAGGCCGCATGACGTGTCATTTCTGGATAGTATTTGTTTGTGCATGTACTTTGACATTATTTTTTCTTTTAAATATTATTTATTCGTCGCTATGGCAACAATAGGTTTTGTAAATGATCCAAACATATTCTGTTATATTTGTTGTAAAAAAAAACAAAAGCAAAACATTACAGAATTCGTCAAAAAAAGTGTAATACGCGTATTTTGGAATAAAACTTGGGGACCAAGGCAGATCAAGGGCTGCGAACAAAGTTTGCACCGTTTGTGTCAAAGAATTAAGACATTGGACTAAAGATAAGAAAAAGTATTTGCCTTTTGGAATTCCAGTGGTCTGGCGTGAGTCTAGAAACCACGAAGATGACTGCTATTTTTGCTCATGTAACGTGCGAGGCTGCAACACTCGAAATAAAAAGGAAATTCCTTACCCGAAACTTCAATCTACCATAAGACCTGTTGCTCATGGACCTGATAGACCTGTACCTACTCCACCGGAGACTCTTGATACAGTTTCATCCGATTCTGAATCTGATCCAATATAAATAATGACACGGGTTGTTGTCAACCTAAAACGTCTGGTGCACCACAACTTTTCACACAAGGTGAACTTAATGATTTGGTGAGAGATTTGGACCTTCCAAAGGATTCTTCAGAGATTTTTGGGGTCCAGACTTCGGGCTAAGAACTTCCTTCTTCCAGGGACATCATTTTACCAGTACAAAAATCGTTAGAAGGTTCACTGGTTTAGTGCCATAATATAGCTCAATTAATACCAATGCTAGGAGCTGCAGTCTATGAACCAAGTGAGTGGCGATTGTTTAAATATTTCTCCAGAAGAAGTCTAAAAGGTGTTCTCCTCCACAATGGTAGAATATATGCATCTGTTCCTATTGCTCATTCGGTTCACTTGAAGGAAATGTACGAAAATCTCAAACTTTATGTTAATAAGGTTAAATACAACGAACATGATTGTCTACTTTGTGGAGACTTAAAAAGTCCTTTGTATGTTGTTGGATCAAGAATCCGGTTATACAAAGTTTCCATGATTTTTGTGTGAACGGAACAGCAGAGCACAAAATCAGCACTGGATAAAGAGGCAATGGTCACGCAGAGTCAACCTGAAACGAAGATTGAAAAACATTGAACGTGAAAGTTTGTTGACATAAAGAAAGTTTTATTACCACCACTTGCTTCATCAAGCCTAGTTTGTAAAAGCCTTGACAAAGACTGTTTCAAGTATCTATGTGGGCAATTCCCAGCTCTTTCAGAAGTGAAACTTGAATAAGGGATTTTTGTTAGGCCTCAGATTAGGAAATTGACTGCGGATGAACAGTTTGAAAGGAAAATGGGAAACGTTGAAAAAGAAGCGTGGATTGCCTTTAAAGATGTTATTGAGAATTTTTTTAGGAAACAATAAGGGCCCAAATTACGAAAATATTGTCATAGCATGCTCGATAAATTCAAAGAGTTCATTTCTTACACTCACATATTGACTATTTCCCTGAAAATCTCAGTGCCGTCAGCGAAGAACAAAGGAAAAGGTTTCATCAAGACATGAGGGAAATGAAGAGGAAGTATCAGGGACGGTGGAACATCAGCAAGATGGCTGATTACTGCTGATCATTGAAACGAGATGCTCCAGTCGCAATACATAAAAGAAAGATCACAACACTTAATTTTGAGACTAAAACACGTAGATTAAAAACAAAATCAGCATGAATGAGGATGCATATTCATTTGACATCAATGTTCTTTCCTTTTCTTCAGATTTTTATTTTTGTTAACAAACATAATAATAAACAAATGTTCATTGTGGTAAACGAAGTAATAATAATTTGATCTAAGTAAGAGTTTTTTTTCTTCCCGATTTGTAAAAAATCCTTACTTGATAGAAAAAAAGGGTAATATTTTCAAAATATGCGTAGCTGAATTATGGAAAATCCGTTATTAAAAACCAAAACAAGTTTTTTGAAGTTTAAATTCGCAGGCCTGTGTAATTGGACTTAAGTGATGGTATAGGCTACTACCCATGACAACGATTGATGTCCGATTGTCACACCCTTACCATAACTTCTTGTTCCATTGCCGTTTTTGATTACTTTGTCAATGCATACACCAGACTTCAAATTTATCGCATGTTGTGACATCTGTTTAAAATTTTGGCTTCAAGTATATATTTAATGTAATGTAAGGTTTGTTTGTAGTTAAGAACAAAGCTAAACAATGGGCTATCTGTGCTCTGCCCACAACAGGTAACGAAATCCAAGTTTTAGCATGAATAGCCCTGAGACTTACCGCAGAGCCACCAGGGGATTTAATGCAAGTTACCCAGTGAATCCCATAAACTTTTATCTGATAAAGATAAAAAACAAAACTCATGAGAATAAAATGTCGATACTTTTATTTCAACTGTACATTTGTCTACAACGTTCTCTGTTAAACCCTGCTAATAACGTACAAATTCTAAGATTACACTGTAGTCAATAATTTATAGGTTACACTAAAAGAAATACAACAAGGTGCGAGACAAGACCGTATTTTTATCTATTTATTTATTTTACACACTCAAAGGAAGTAATAAGTAGAGTTTTTTGTTCGCCTTTACACACTTTTTTATTTTTGTTTTGCGAGACTGTTTTACAGAGTGCATGAGTAAAAACTATAAATCCGGACAAAAACGAGCGTTTTCCAAGACACCCTACCGAATAATTGTTTAGGAAGATTTAATAATACGAAAACAATGACATTAGGAAGTACATAGATATAGTGATATATATATATCAAATAATGGCTTCATTTCATCTTCATATGATTGATTACAAAAAGTTACTTTTGTTTTTTACAACCTATTGGACACAATAGACTAAACAGTCAAGTATGCGGTCATGCTATAAAAGACAATGTTTTACTCTTTTTTTTTTATCGAAATGAGTTTTATTGACTTACGAGACCATACTGTTGTTTATCCAAGCATACATTTATTGATGTTCTGTTAAAAGATGTGCACACATTTCCTGATTACGAACCTTTATTGGTTTCACATTACTGATTGAATCTAGTTAAGTGATGTATGAAATAACTATTTCTCAGTGTTACATCTATCAATAAAATAAATCACCAATATTATGCAAGAGAAGATTGCTTACGGCCTCGCCAACGAACACAACCAAATAATCGTGCTGCTTGTATACAGACGCTTAGACAGAGAAACGAAACTTAAGATATTTCTTGCCGAAGAATATATTCAACACAACACTAAAAAAACTAAGATATGAAAACCTCATGGCACTTCTATATTTCCGTGTGTCAATATTCTATTGACTAACTAATCGCTGATCTGGTAAAATACAGCAAGGAAATGAGAACAAAATGCATATAACTTGTCCAATTTGTAGCGGAGTCATTCCCTGTACCTGAAAGAAAACAAAACACACTTGTTTAAGTTCTCGTACATTTATATGATATTACGTGTAATTGCTTTTTACTTATAGTAAAAGTGTAATTAGATGACAGCATAAAATGATTAGATGATAGAAATTCTAAACTGCATTTTAAGATACATTTTTCAAGGTTTATTTTAGCATTCTTACCTTTTTGTCTATAAGCATCTACTAAGAAATTATAAAATAGTGAATAAATGCGAACATAATAATTGTGGGACTTTCAAAATGCACTCAATTTATACTTGTGCATACTTACAGAAATATTTTATTCTATTACAACTGCAGATTGGCTTTAGATAGAACATTGCAAGTTGGGTAATGATTAATATCTACAGAAAGGTTCGAGTGGCGTAGCCTTAAACACGAATTATACACAATAACTCTCAAGAATATATATATATATAGACACATACACACATAACAAGTTCATATATTATGTTCAATGTATTTAATACTAGTCATACAAACACCCGTATCTCAAAACAGTAGTGGAATTTCGTAAAAAACATCCAACCCAAGTTGTTATTTTTTTTGTTCTTCCAAAATCGACAGATTAAAGATCGCCAACTCTTGAGTTACTCTTGACTGACCGAATAATGGAATTTGACCGTTACCTTTACAGCACATTCACGACTACAAAAGTG